CCTATGCTCAATGCTCTGACTGATGAAAGCGAGCAGGCTGAAAGCCGTCTTGACCACCCTGTCTATCTGTGACTCTACTTTCAAGAAGTTATGAACCTGTATCCCTAGATTTCCATGTTTTCTAACACACCCCAGGGCCCTCCCATTGACTGTGTAAGTCCTGCCCTGGTTTGGCTTACTAAAATACAACACCTTGCACTTACCTAAATTTAATTCAACCTGCCATTCCTCAGCCCACTGTCCCAGTTGATCAAGATCTTGCTGCATTGTCAGATAGCCTTCTTCACTGTCCACTGTACCATCAATCTTGGTGTAATCCACAAACTTATGAACTGACAACAGGACTCCTAAGCCCACTAGGAATCATGGTGGCCCACGAGCCCACAGCTACTCTACGACAAACCCTTAGAAGGATTAAAGGCCCCATTCCCACAACATGCAGAACCAATGTGGTTTACAAAATACCGTGCAACAACTGCCACAAACATTACATTGGACAGACAGGAAAGAAACCAGCCATCAGAATACATGAACATCAGTTAGCAGCAAAACGGCACGACGAATTCTTCTTTATATCGGTACATTCAGACAATGAAGGCCATCAATTTAACTGGGACAAAGTAACCATAGTAGCCCAAGCCAAACATAGACATGCACGGAGATTCCTACAGGCATTGTTCTCCACCCATACTTCAATCAACAAACATACAGAATTGGACCCCATATACAAGCCCACACAGATTAAAACCGGAAATGACACTACTCACCATAACGGACCAGACAGTATAAATTCCAAGCTGAGTAGCATAACACTGCTTCATCGGAGGCTCCACTGATGATGTCACCTAGCGTGGTGATGAAATGTTTGAACAAAAACAAGCCAGCTGGGTAAGCAAGTCAACCACACCACCCACAACCCGAGCTACAGATCATTGCCAAAACTTTAAACAAACTTACCTACTATAACTCATAAATTCTCATCCAAATAATTTCTATAAGTGATGAATAATGGTGGACCCAGTACTGATCCCTGCAGCCACCACTGGTCATAGGCCTCCAGTCTGAAAATCAATCCTCTCCCACCACCATCTGTCTTTTACCATCAAGCCAATTTTGTATCAATTGGCTAGCTCTCCCTGGATCCTGTGAGATTTAACCTTACTCGACAACCTACCATGCGGTAGCTTGTCAAAGGCTTTGCTAAAGCCCATGTAGACAATGCCTACCGCACTGCCCTCAGCTACTTTCTTGGTCACCTCTTCAAAAACTGCAAGCAAATTCATGAGACATGATTTCCCATGCACAAAGCCATGCTGACTACCCCAAATGAGTCCTTGCCTCTCCAAATGCCTGTAGATCCTGTCTCTCAGAACTCGTCTAACAACTTACTGACCACAGAAGTTAGGCTCACCAGTCTGTAGTTCCCAGGAATTTCCTTGCAGCCTTTCTTAAATAATGGCACAACATTAGCCATCCTCCAATCTTTGGGCACTTCACCTGTCGCTGTTGATGATACAAATATCTCCACTAGGGGCCCCTCAATTCCTTTTCTAGCCTCTCACAAAATCCTGAGATACACTTTACCAGGTAATGCGTTTTAAGACTTCCAGCATCACCTCTTCTGCAATGTGGATCCTTGAGTATATAAATAGAGGCCGACGGTATAAAGCAAGGAAGTGATGCTACACCACTACAACTCATTGATCAGACTACATTTGGAATATAGTGTTTAGTTCTGGGCACATTAAGGAATGATGCTAAAACTCTGCAGAGAGTGCAAAGGAGATTTACTACAATGATAGCAGGAATGAGAGATTTTAGATACAAAAAAAAGTTTACAGAAATTGGGTTTATTCTCTTTGGAGCAGAGAAGATTACGAGGTGACCACATTGAGGTGTTCAAAATTATGACCAATTTTGTCAGGGTAAAGACGATATTCTGTTTCTACTAGTTGGTATGTCATTAGCGAGGGTGTCACAATTTCAAGAATGGCAGCAAGAGAGCTAGGTGTGAGATGAGGAGAAACTTCTTTACTCAGACAGTTGTTAGGATTTGGAATGCGCTGCCTGGGAAAGTGGTGGAGATGGATTCCACAGGAATTTACAAAAGGGACCTTTTTATATATTTGAAAGTAATTAATTTAGAGGGCTATTGGGAGTGGATTGGAGAATGGGACTAGCTAGGTAGCTTGTCCAGGAGCTGGTACAGACATGATGGGTTGAATGGCCTCCTTCTGTACTGTAATATCTACGTCTCTCGTAAATGTTCCAATTTTGCATTCGGGTGGAGGCACCTGACAATGAAATGCTCAAATAAAAATGAGATGTCTTCATTGCATAGTATTTAATGATAAACTTGAGTTGTTTTATAATGTACTTACAGAAAATAAATGAATAAAATAAAACTTTTCCAATAAGAAAAATTGTAACTGTCTTCAGTGGCAATGAATGAGATTATCCAACAGCTGGTGTATAACCTGTTCCCTGTTGGTTCGGTCAAGTCATTTCCTATAACTTTCTCATGAAGGACACAGAGGTACAGGGCAGATACTTCCCTGTTGTCTGAGGTTCATGGGGTTCAAGCCCTTTTCAGAATTTTGAATGCTAAATACAGTCTAAAAATCCCAGTGCACTACTGATGGAGAGCCGCACTGTTGGATGGTCAGTAGTGAGGCAGTGCTGTACAGTCATAGGGTTAGTGCTGAGGGAGTGCTGCATTGTTGGAGGGTTAATACTGAGTGATGCTGCACTGTCAAAGTGTCAGTACTAAAGGAGTGCTGCACTGTCAGAGTATCAGTGCTGAGGGAGCGCCGCAAAGTCAAAGGGGTCAGTACTGAGGGAGTGCTGCACTGTCAGAGGGTCAGTACTGAGGGAGTGCCGCACAGTCAGAGGGGTCAGTACTGAGCGAGTGCTGCACAGTCGGAGGGCCAGTACTGAGGGGACTCCACACTGTGAGAGGGTCAGTACTGCAGGAGCACCGCACTGTCGGAGGGTCAATACTGAGGGAGTGCCGCACTGTCGGAGGGTCAGTACTGAGGGGACGCCACACTGTCGGATTGTCAGTACTGAGGGAGTACCGCACTGTCGGAGGGTCAGTTCTGAGGGAGCGCCGCACTGTGAGAGGGTCAGTACAGAGGGAGTGCCGCACTGTCGGAGGGTCAGTCCTGAGGGAGAGATTAAACCCTCTGCTCATTCTACTCCAGTAAAAGATTGAATGCACTTTTTCAAAGACAAGAGAAATTCTCCTTGCTGTGGTGATCAATACTTATGAGAAGTTTCCATTTGTATGGCCCACAATGTGCCCATAGAGCAAAAGATTATCCTTTCAGTGTGAAAGTATAGTTTTGATGCTGTACATAGGTAATCTGTACAAAATGGCTCCTGTCAGTGATGAGAAAAATCCATTCCTGATTCCGGAGAATTATTTCTCCTCTCACCATCCACAGCAGCCTTGCTCCCCAGGACAGAAATGCCTGTGTTTAAAACATTGGCCAAAACATCCACACCTGTTACAGACCTGTGAAGAGTAGACTGGCAAACTTCCTGGGTTCGAAAACTGCTTCTTTCTTTCTCCACGTATTCATCCTTCTTTCACGTTTGTCTCTCTTTGTGTATTTCTCAAGAGCTCGGTTTCAATGTCGCCTTCTTTCAGTTCTCATGTCTCTTTTGCTCTCTTTGTCGCTTTCTCTGTCCAGTTGTGTTTCTCTTTCACCCTACCTGCCTTCTCTTTTTCACTTGCAATTACATTTGTTGACTTTGTATTTCACTGGATTTTACCAAACTGTGAGGAGAACTCCATCTTTTACTCAAGTGTTAATGTGCAAAGGATTAACCTTTACCCCCTTTGCTGCAGTGTTTGAAAGTGTTTGAAAGTGTTCTGAGAGTTTTGGAATGTGCTGATTGTTGGAAATACAGGGTGGTTTAAAAGGTTGGGAACAGTATTATTCATTGAAGTGTTATGACTTTGGGCAGAAATTCCTTACAATGAGAATCAAAACAGGGCAACACGAGACCCTGGAATAATACCAGGACCGTGTTTCAAATAAATTAATTGCTTTAGTTGGTTTTGCTTCCTGCTGCTAATCATTCATGACACTTGCTGCAGGCAGCTGGAAGACGATACAGAACAGAAACAGGACATGACCATTCAGCTCCTTGAACCTGCTCCACCAATCAATGGCTGATCTGTTTGTAGCTCACGTTGCCCTTCTCTGCCTGTCTCCCATAATTCCCTGTTGATCAAGTTTCTGCACAACATGCAGACATGGCAGCAGAATCATGGGAACACCACCATCCACAAGTTCCCATGAATGCCACTTGCTATTCTGTCATATAAACATAGCAAAGTATCTTCAGTGGGTCAAAATCCTGGAACTCCCTCCACAACAGCATTGTGAGTGCCCCTACACCAAATGGACTGCAACAGATCAAGCAGGCATCGCACTGTGACCTTTTTGAGAGCAACTAGGGATCTTAAATAAACGCTGGCCTGGCCAGTGATGTCCACAGTTCATGAATTTTGAAAATTTTGAAAAGGGATGAATTTTAACTCAGCTCACCAGCTGGGTTGAAAATCTGACTTATGGAAAACCAAGTACAACTCTTTTAAAGTTATTACAAAATCAGCACAAACAGATTCCATGAACGTAACTGAGAGAGTTAGATTCTGGGGGCGCTGAGGGGTGTGGAGGGTTATTTTTGGAGGTGGGGAGGGTTATTTTCTAAGGAGACTTTCCCAGAAAGGAATACTATTAGCTCCTAGCTCCTAACTCACTCTCACACTTAGCAACAGGAGACCACCAGAAACCAGCTCATTGAGGGGTCACCAGTTGGCAACATCTGAACCAATTGCTCAACTAATTACCAGCAGAGACTATTAGAAACCAGCAGAAACCAGTGCCCCCAAGAGAAAGAGTGAATTGAGATATAATCATTATCTGGTGGCTACTGTGAAACTTTATTATGATTCATTGCCACATCTAGCTGGGCTACACTGGGGCCTGATGGACTGGTGTCTCCACATTGAGTGTGTTTAGCCCACTTTGCAAAGTTTCTTCCTCAGTAATAATCATCGGAATAATCCTCTACGAGCTGCAGAGGCTGCCTCCATGGAGTTTCAATCTCGCTTATCTGATCTGAAAGACAAACACCCAGAGCACATTATGTACGTAAAATACTGCAGATAGATGGAGATCAGCAATAAACACAAAGTGCTGGAGAAACCCAATAGATCTGGCAGCATTTGTGGAGAGGGGAACAGAGTTAATTTGCAGAATTTTGCCAATCGAGCTGAGGGCATGATATGTGAGTCGTGGATACACCCAGGCAGCCAATGGGACTTCACCTTGAATTTCGGGGGTATCAGCCAATGAAATGGCTGCCACCAGGGCATGGCCATTCAGGACCCAAGGGCTGCATCCAATCAGGGGGCTGGCAGCTCAGTGGTGCCACCAACAGCAGTGGCCACTTGCGGGAAAGCTGATCCTGACAGTGGGTAAGGAAAGTAAACCTTCAAGAAGCCGCATACTGGAGTATAAATTCCTCCAGGAATATCACTGAGGTATTGCCCTTGCCCACCACCAGCTCTTAATTAAAAATTTCTCCCCCTTGACCCCCTTAATACCACCCTTACCGCTACCTCCCTGTCAGGCTGCCATTGGGCAGCTGCCAGCCTCCACATGTGTTGAGATGAGGTGGTGGGGTTTGTGATTTGATCCCTCATTGGGACAATTGGCATGATTCAATGGCATGGTGAAGTGGTCCTTCATGGGATCTTCACATATTGCAGCTGGTTGGTCAGGTACGCTGGGCTGGCAGCCTATCAGATTCTGATCCTGCCACTGGTGGGAGAACAACGCTCAGTTTTAACAACTCTCCCCCAACCCCCACATCACTCGCCCAGCCCTTCTCTTGTCTGCCACTTCCTGGGGTCAGAAATCGACCCACTTGTTAGGCAGGATATTTCTCACACACACGACAGAGGTAAGTTGGAACATTCTCTCCCGCTGAAGGCTGTGTGGGGATTGGAGTCCATGGTGGGTCCAAGACTACGGACAAAGAATAATCGAGCAAAGATGGTGGAGTTGAAAGACAGATCAGCTTCCATGATTGAATGACGGAACAGACTAGGAGGGCAGAATGTCCTCAGCCATTTCCATTATAAAGAAGGGGAGGGAGGTATGGGTGTCATTTGCTGCCTAGTTATACTGAGTTAGGTAAATGTTCCCCGAGGTGATTGTTAACTGTTCTGGGGGCCTTACAGGCTCTGTAATTAGATTCACTGCCCCAGGGTAGCAAGAGGTAAGATCGCAACAACTCAGTACACCAAAGCTCCCTGAAGATCAAGAGAATTGTATCAGAAAGCAGAGCAAGAAGCCATTGAGTCCACCATGCCTCTGTTGTCTCAATGAAAGTTTAATCCAATTAGTAGGAAACCTCTGCCCTTGACCCATAGTCTTGCCAATCTTGCCTTCTCAAGGATCTAGTCAATTCACCTTTGAAAATTATCATCAAATTTGCTTCTACTGTCTTTCCAAATGTAAGAAATCTTGCAAAGTTGTTGTGGGCTGAATGGCCTCTTCCTGCACTGCATCATTCAGTAATTCGAAGAGAAGGAACAGGAGGTAAAAGGGAACACTCCATTTGCCACAGTATGTTCGACCCTCTCTTACCCGGTGAGATAACAGTCAGTCTGGCGGCTGCCGACACTTCTCCCAGTTTGTTCCTTGCAGAACAGTGATACACTCCTGAATCCGTGCTGCGAATTGCTTGGATCTGGAGCCAACCGGTCACTTCATATTTAAATGGACCTCCTCGAAACTGCAATTGGGGATTGCAGTGATTTAGAATCAGTGAGGGGTTGGGAGACAATGGTGTGGAGACAAGAGTTCTCTGTTACAAAACGACTTATTTCAATGGATTTTGTAAACTATGGAAATGGCCAATCTGATTTTCCTGAATTCCAGTCATGAACCAAATGACCAAATAGCTCCCTTAGCGCTGTAATGACTCTGTGACTCTAAGTCTACAGCTATTAATAAAGATTTCAAGTGTCATTCATTCCTGACACTAACATTGCCCCATGTCAAGGTCTATCTGCCTCCATTCGGGATTCCTACTTAAAGTTAATTACAAATCCACATTTCAAACACATAGGATATTCCTGGCACCCTCCCCCGCTGCCTTGTGCTCTGTTTTGATTGGACTGATTGATTTCAGGCAGTCACCAGGAGAACCTAAAAACACCAAGGACCAAAATAGGATGACATTCAGCCAGCTGTTATCAAGTGTACATCCTGTTCTTCGTTTCACCATTCCCTGTTTCCCTGTCCATGGTTACCCAGGATACCCTTGGGGAAGCACTTCCCAGAAGGGGGTTCATGAGTTGGGTGGAAATTATTCAAACATTAGTACACCAAGGATCCAAATCCTGGAGGGAGCTGACTAGAGGGCATTGGAGGATGTCTTACCCAGAGTGGGTGATACTGGGAGGGGACATTGCCCCTTAAATATTGGAAGCAGGAACCATATTGCATTGATAATGCAGCCAGTAAGAGATGCAGCATTACAAGTTCCTTAAGGGAATGTTACCCTCAGTGTGTACTACTGAGACAGTAATATACTGATAAAATCTCTGATCAGAACTTGTATTTATTGTTCAGTAGGCTTTCAGACTGAAAAAAATACTTTAAAAAAACATTAAAACCAAATTTACATCTGGCAATTCAACCTTTGTTTACATTCTCCATCTCCAACTACTCCCTGATTACCACATTGTCTGACATCGATGGTTAGGGAATGTCTCTAAAATACTGGGAAAATTTGAATGCGTTCAATAATGCTGCTCTGGTATCAGGAAGGTACCTGCACAGAGATGTGGGGGTCATCACCTGGCAGGAAAGTGTCCACTCCGTCTTTCCGCCATTCAATAGCTGCCATTGGATAAGCAAAGATCTCGCAACCGAAAATGACATCCTCTCCAGTGGTGTTCCAGATGTTGAAGGGAGCAGATATAATCTGAGGGACTGAGAGAGAAAGGGTGATGAACAGCAAATGGGACCTGACAGGGCACGTGGCTTTGATGGGAGATCAAAACTATGGGCAGTTGGAAGAACTGAAAGAGTTACAACACCAGCTTTAGCCATGTGTGGAGCTGGTGATTAAAACCTCAAGCAATTGTTTGTTTCATACACTGATATCCATTTGTTAATCAAATAGCCAAAGACTTTAAGAGATTAAAAGCCTTATTGTAAATCTTCAATTTAGTACAAACTTCAGTTTCTACCTTTCTCTTCTAGTCCATTTCCCTGTCCAGGAGCTAATGCCACCACATATCCCCCACCTCTCCCATACAATCACCCCTCCACCACCCCTCACCCCCAACTTGTGCTGGGGAAAGACTGAGCTTTGTTTACATCAAAAATTAACTCAATAAAGTAATAAAAACTGCCCACCAGGGACACTGTAACTATAACAAAAAAACCCACCATGAAAAGGGTGAACCTAAGGGCATTGTGAAGAAAGGTCATTAAACTCAAAACTTTGACTCTGTTTTCTTTCCACAGATGATTCCGGACGTGCTGAGTTTCTCCAGCAACTTCTGTTTGTGTTTGAAACTAGGGGACTGAATCAAAATAATCATTAGAGGATGAAATAATGCACCCCAATGAAGAATCCAATTCATTTTTGTTTATATATTCCCACTGAACATTTTTTTTCACATTTCTAAATCATCCGTGGTATTTTTCTTCCATCTATTAACTACCACCCAGTGAATTGGCTAAAATTTTCCAATTGGCTAATTTAGCTGCAAAGCACATTAAGGGCAACACAAACTATTGAAGTTGAGGTAGAGGATGGGGATAGGGAGAGGGCTAAATCGAAATGGAGTTGGAAAGGACAGCTTTTTAAAAAAAAAACATTTCGTTATGAAATCAGCAGGACATCAAATGATCCAACAAAACACAAGATAAGGAAAAACAAAACAAAAGGAGTGGGGAACAAGAGAGAAACTAAATCAAAACAGTGTTGAAGAGGGAAATACTGTACTTCGGCACCTGCAGAGACCCCCTCTCCCTGCAGACATGAAGGCTTCCAATGGACACAGATGCCCTCCCTCCAAGGGTTAGGCATGAATGTAGCCACAGAAGAAGGACAAGCAATCAATAACTTTGAACATGTTGGTGGTTACTTTAGACCTCAGCTCTCCCCTTTCACTTGAAAAACCCACCACTAAATGAACCAATCACCCATATTACCAATACTACCCACCACCAGCACCCGCCAACCCAAATTACAATAACAAAAATCAACAAAAAAAGGAGGGAGGAAGCAAGGAAAAGAACTAAATCAAAATGGTGCCAGGGAGATAGCCTCCACGGTGCCCACCTCTCTCTGAAAGCTTCGAGGATGCTGGTGGTCACTTTCCAAGGACCTCAAATACAAACGTAACCGTGATAGAGGAGCAGGCAGTTGGGAATTACAACCCCCTCCGTGGCCCACTGCATGGGCCTGTTGATGGCTACGTCAGAACTCAGCTCTCAAATATAAAGCCCAGTGAGCATTACCTTATCTCAACCAACTCTGGAATTGATTGTTTAGATCCTTCAAGGGACCTAACTTTGACACTGGGTCACACAGGAACTTCAGTGGCTGAAGTTTCCACATCCAATTTGGAGCTGACAGCAATGAGGTAAATGAATTCTGCTCCATCGCCATTGTCAAATTGACAATTCAATCGGAGTAGTATGTGCATTGAAGGTTATGGAGCAAAGGCAATTGAGTGGATATTTGAGCTCAGATGAACGATCATCTAACTAAGTGGCAGGAACAGTGTTCGGAGGCTGAATGGCCTTTTCTTGATGCAGATGTAGCAGATAGGCTAGTGAGAAGGTGCAATGTTCTGTCACAGTAACAGTCGAGTTGTTGTAAATTCTGTAACCTTTATGAGGTGTGGAGAATAGGAGTCTAACTGTCTAACTGAACAGGCAGAGGGCAAGCTGTTTGTCACTGCAGGCCACGGTACTGAGGTCAGCTACACAACTCCCAGGCATCTGACTCTCATTCCTCACTTTCCAATGCTATCTGTCTTCAGAACACATTGTAACATTTGACTTTTCTCTTTCTCATTCATATGGAATCCCTGGAACAGTGCCTAAACTCCAAGAAAACAGAATTTGGACATCGGAGCTTTTTGGCCTGGAACCTGTTAAAGGGGATCCACAGCCAGTCTGTGATATTCCTTATTTAAAAAAAGACACTTGTCACACTCCTGAAAAATATCATGAAAACTCATTCCAGGAGGAAGCACAGCAGCTGGGAAATCATTTTAGAAATGGGGCTGGGTATTTGAGAGGTGCTGGTGTGTAGTTAAAAACAGGAGGAGGCCAACCTGTTCCATTTTTCCATAAGATTATGGATGCTCCATGTCCTGACTCCATTTACCCAACTTAACTCCATACCCTTCCTAGCCAATAAAAACCTAGCTATCACAGTTCTGACACTTTTTAGTCCCAATGAATATTTTTTTCAAGTGGGGTAGGGGTCCAGATTTCCTGACACCAATCCTGATTGGCCTGGCTCAGATATGTCTATAAGGACCCTCACCAACTTCTACAGATGCACCATTGAAAGCATACTGTCTGGGTGCATAACGGCCTGGTACGGCAACTGCTCTGCCAAGGACCATAAGAAACTATAGAAAGTGGTGTGCACAGCCCAGACCATCACGGAAGCCAACCTCCCATCCATGGACTCCATTTACACGGCTTGCTGCCACAGAAAGGCTTCCAACATCATCGAAGACCCATTGCATCCTGATAATGATCTCCTACAACCTTTTCCATCAGGCAGAAGGAACAGCTTCTTCCTGGCCATTATTAGACTGATGAATGGACTCTCTAACTTCAAATAATGCTGATCTTCCCATTGTGATAGTGCATGCCCTGTGCAATGTAACCTATATATCTCTGTCTAAGTCTTTCGATCTGTACATCCTCGTTTACTAGGATCTGCCTGTGCTGCTCGTAAACAAAGCTTTTCACTGTACTTCGGTACACGTGACAATCAATTCAATCATCAATCAGGCCAAGCAGCATCAGAGGAGC